TGAATTTTAACAACAATGAAGCATGAACGAAATGATTGAATCAATGAATGAAGTATGAAGGAAATGATTCGTCTTCCTTCATATCCTCCTCTTCTTTTCGGATGAATAAATGAAATTCATAGATACCCGACGTATATCATCAATATTATTTCCGCCCAATATTTGCATATTTATGACAATAACTACGACCATACCGTATATAATGACAATTTTATCCCTAGAAATTAACCACATCACTTTTCAAATTTTTTTTTTATTTAAAAATTTCATCTAATTTTAGTTGATGCTGTTGTGGAATTTTTGAAATTACAAAATGGATAAATAAATAAAAAGAAAATTAGATGCCAATATTTGCTGGTTTTTCAGGAAACGCGAATAAATGATAAACGATTGGAAGGTTAAGTTCCCGGTATGAATGTAAATTTTAAAAACATTTAAATGTTTTAAAATGTATGTTAAGAAATAAAATAATTTTATAAATACCATATATATATACAATACTATAATGGATTAACAAAATTTTCAGGAATGATCCGACATATCGTATGCATTTCATTATCTAATCATAAGTCATTGAGAATCAGTAATGCTTATGATGTTGACCATTCTGTTAATTAAGCGACTATTAATTACAGCGAATCGATCTTCAATTCATTTTGTATAGCTTCAAAATTTTCAAAAGAAAGCACAATCTTGGTCATGTTCAATTCAGTTACTCATTCCCAACCAATTCCATGATTTTGTAAATAAAAATTTCAAAATACAAATATTATAATTCAAATTGAAAAACTCAATTGAGCAAATACGATATTTTCAAAAATGAGACTACAACAGGAAGCAGATGCAAAATAATATACCTTTGCTATTGTAATTATTTCATTGTGCCCATCCATTTTAATGACTTATCATACAATGAAACGATTTGTACACGAAGATTGTCATGGAAAAAAAAATCCATGACAAAAAAAAAATGCTCAAAATTGAAAGAAATTTAGCATAAGTTCTTGTTAGTTTTCAATTTTTTATTACTTAATTAAAAGTTATTTAACAACTAATTTGATTGAAATTGTATTTTTAGATTGTATTTTTCCTTCCATAATTAACTCGACTTCGAATTTCTATTTTTTGATTTTTAATTTTATTATGAAAATTATATTAAACTGTAATTCATCTAAAATTAAATTTATTTGAGATTTCAAAATAATATCTAAAATCAATATCAATACCAAAAATATCATTTAAAACTCTTTTTTTTTTTCATTTATAATTTACAATATGATGAATAAATGAAGTGAAAAAAATTTTCAAATTTCATTAAGCTAATTTAATTATTTCAATTTATGGAAATTTTTTTTTTGTTTAAAAGAATAAAAAAGGGAAAAAAGATTTTTAAAAAAAATGAATGGATGATGATAAAGTCTAAATTTTAATCAATCGACTTCATCATTAGAATAAAAATTGGAAGAAGAAGGAAAGGAAGACGTAGAAAGTATCAAAAGGGAAAAAGGAATAAAACCGATGACTCGAAAATCAGAAACGATTTGATGAGGAAGTATAGAATGTATGTAATTTTAGCAATTAAAATGACTAAAAAATTGAGATTTTTAAATGTGATATTACGCTTCAACGATTGTTCACTCATTTATTTCAGAAAAAAAATCCATCCATGAAATGAAATGAAGTTGTGAAAGTTCATTTCATTTCATATATTATCATTATTTATTAAATCAAACATTCTACAATTATCATTCTCATTTTTCTTCCCTTTTTTTGTAACATTACTTTTACAAAAGGAAAAAAAGAAAAAGCAAAAAAATATCGTTGGCATTTTAACTTCTTTTTTTTGCCTTACAATTAGATGTAATAAAAACGAGAAAAAAAAATCAGTTATAGTAATAAAATTGAAATCGTAAGATTTCATTGAATTTTAAAACTAAATTTTAATTTATTTCTTACAAAATTTATTATGATAAATAATGATATAATGGAATTTTATAATTGTTGTAATGAAATATTATATTAGTATTAGTAAGATTGATCGAAAATATCGTTGAAATGATGTAATTATTACATTCAACAAATCATTTGATATATTTCAGTTATCCTTCCTGCACACAACTTATCACTACCATATCTAATCATCAATTCAGATTACATCTAAAGAAGTGACATATTTGTCACAATCTTATCAATTAAATTGCTTTGAATAAATATTTAAAATTTCTAAAATTTATATTGCATTAAATTTTTAGAATAAAATTTTAATGATGTGGATAATATAGAATGGACGACGATAGGAATGATGAGTCTCGCCGTAATCCTAACAATGTCACTCTTGCTTTGTTGTATTTTTATAAATTGTCTTAAACAATCACATTTTTATGACTCATCTTCAATACTCATCTATTGGTCTTTTTCGTACGACAGCATTTGAAAAAGTAGAAATAATCCATAAAAAAAGGGTTTTGCATTTTTTTTTTCAGAATTATCAAAATTCCAAATAAAGATGAAGGGAAGGAGAGGGAAGAGGGAAAAGGAATTAGGTTTAAAATTTGTGTAAGTAATAAAATTTCTTCGTTGGAAATACCATTTGAAAGAAACTGTAATTGATAAATTTGATAAGAGAATTTAATTTTGCAAAAAGATGAATTATCGATTTAGATTGATAAATTAAAATATGCATATGAGAACTGATAATGAATAATTTGAATATAAACGATTTAATCAATTATCACTTCGTTATAAGTACAATTACTATTATAAACATATAGAACGGAATAAGAATTGATTAGGTTTTTTACTTAATTTAATTTAATATGGCACTGTTTTGCATGAATTTCTGAATTAAAAATTTTGTAAGAGGCAGATGAAAAATAAAAGCTCAAGAAATAAATATTATTGAGTCAACATCTTTGCTACACAAAATGTGTAGCACAGCTGAATTTTATTCATTCTGCATGCAAAGTTTTTTTTTTTTTGCAAATTATTGAAATGATTTAATTTCATTCCAGTGCTGGATTTAGATCTTAATTATGGTCTTCATCATTTGCTAGCTTTCAGTATATGGTTAAATTTCACCTTTCATATGGGTTAAGTCATTTTTGCAATAAAATATGAAAAAAAATTATTCTCGGAGCACAGCAACATAACCTTTTAAAATTGGCTGATAAAATTCTGCATTCATAAAGTGGGAATCATAATAGAATACAGACTAATAAATTAGAATTGACCTAATGTTACATTGGGAATTAAGAGAATTAGATAATTTATAAAAGTCGTGGAAAAAACTAGAGTGAAAGATGTAACATTACGTCTGATGGTTAGTAATAGAGGCTAATTATCAAATTTTAAATTATTGATTAAAATAAGGTAAAATAAGCTAATAGCAAAGCAGATGAACAATGAACAAAAACATTGTGATGAAAGATCATCCTGGTAGCAATCATCAAACATCGATGTATCGCAAAAATTAAAATACCGGATGATTTACCTCACAAAATAAAATAGATGAATGCTTTCAATCAAACATTGCACATATATTTATGAATTGTTAAAATGGCTTGCATTTAGTGATAGCAACATGCAATCATCAAATTGGAGATATGTGATACTGAACAATCCAGGCAGTTCTTGGTAATTATACACGATAGAGTCTGTCATTGATAAGAATGATGCATGTGTATGTGTATGTGTGTGTGCATGTGTGTGTGTGTGTGTGTGTGTGTGTGTGTGTGTGTGTGTGTGTGTGTGTGTGTGTGTAGCATTGGCTTATACCGTTGGGTAGTTATTTGGATTTGAAATAGTGGTGTAAAATGAACGCATGCATATGATCAACAAAGGGATAACTGCGCCACGGAATAGTGGGGGGTAAAGGAATGGGGAATGAGCGGGGATGGAATAATGGGGAGTAAGGGGATAAGGAATGAGCGGGGGTGGAGAAGGAGGAGGAGGAGGAGGAGGAGGAGGGGGAAGAAGGAGGATGAAGGAGAGAAGAGAGGAGAATGTATGATGGAATGGTGGTACCAAAAGTGAAGAGGAAGGAAGATCGAAGACTCAGAAAATATCTCGGTCAGCAATCTCAAATGAACCAACCAACCAACCAACCCACCCACGATGTGGACACGGGATGAAAATTATTTCGGGGATGTATGACTGCTGCTGCTGCTGCTGCTGCTGCTGCTGCTGCTGCTGTTACTGCTACTGCTGATGACCATCAAATATCTTTGCATTTCCTCCTTCTGCTTATATCCTCCTTTCATTGCGATCAACTACTACTACTACTGCTATTGCAAGTGCCAGTACCAGCTGTTCGCAGATGTCGCATCTCTCCTCTTCTCATGTCACTCCTCATGTTTATATCCGATGAATAAACACTTCACTTGATCGTATCGCTAATGAATGTACCTGTACAATCAGTTATGCATATCAAATAATATCACTCGTTGTACTCAGATTTTGGACACCGATAAGGAAAAATAAATAATCGATGACCTCTGAACTATCTATCATTTTAAGTAGTTTTTGGACAAATCCTCACTATATTATCATTATTATACACAATAATAATATTTAATAATAATAATAGTAGTAGTAATAATAATAGTAGTAATAATAATAGTAAATATGATAGTAATGATCATAGATGTGATTTTATTTGTAAAATTGAATTTGATTAATAGAATAACTAATTCAAATTTGTTTATTCCTTCATCTTTTTTAATTCCTGTTCTTCATTAATGAGAACTATAATAGAGAGAGTAGTAAATAGGAGCAACAATTATTAGGGTTTATTTCAGTCCGCACTTAATTAAATAATAAATAAGAGTTTTTTTTTTCTTTCACTACAAATATTTATTTTTATTTTAACAATCGACTTTTACTGTAAATTACTTGCAGCAAAAGTCAATTTTTGAAGTAAATTAAAATTTAACAATGTTAATGTAATATAAGTTGAACGGAGAAAAAGAGAACAAAAAAAATTATGATAGCTAATCACAAACTTACCTTCCAGTTTTTGTAACAATCATTTCGGTGCCATATGCATGGAATTTATTCCACAATGTAGAACCTTCCAAACGCATGGATACATTACGAAGTGCCGGATGATAGTCTTTCAACATAACAGATGCTTTCTTCGCAATCATATCATTATTGGAATTATTTTCAGTACCATTAGAGTTATTGTTACTGCTAGTATCACAATTGAGCGCAGTTTTCGATATTATAGGAAATAATTTCAGAGTATCGGATATTCGAGTTTTATCTGAACAATTATCATTTAGTTTAGTATCGAAATTTCCATTGTTATTGTCGGTTACGGTATCACCGATCAAATAGGCGATGCTGAAAGGCTTGGTAGACATGTTGACGCCTTGGTGAGGAAGTTTCACATCACACTAAAGCAGCGATAGCTAATATTATTACAAGTGGTGATGGTGGTGATGGTGATGGCGGTAGTGCTATTGGTGTGCTAATGTTATTGTCGAAGAATTGGGGCGTCGTGAAATATTCTGTGGAGTGTAGAAAAGATCGGATGAAATTTGGAAAGCGTAAGGAAAAAAATAGAATTTTCGATTATTTGTCCCAAGAAATGCGAGGGCAGCAACGATAATGATGATGATGACAGTGGAGGAATGATAATGATAACGATAACGATAGTGGCGACGATAGTAGTAATGCTAAGCTCATCACAAGTAGGATTATCAAAACACGTGGTGGAATGGAAAGATTTTATTGAAGTAAGCTATCATTACCATCTGGCAGCA